GCTCCAAGTACCCTCCTGCGCCGGGGCCGCCTGATGCGCGAAGTCCACCCTGTCGTCTGTCCCCAGCGAGGCCAGCAGCCGCTCGCGCGCCTTGCTGCGGAGGTCGCCCGCCCACTTCCCTTGCATCCCCTGGAGTGGTTCGCCCACGCAGCCGGTCCAGTCGATCGCCTCGAGAGACCCCCCGCTCTGCGCCTGGAGCCGAGACACCGCCCTCCTTATGGCCTCGTCCACCGGGGGGCAGCGCTCCTTGAACAGCGCCCAGGAGGGTTCGTCCTCCTCCTCCTCCACCTCCTCCTCTTCCTCCTCCTCCACCTCCTCCTCCTCCACCTCCTCCTCCTCCTCCTCCTCCTCCTCCTCCTCCTCTTCCTCTTTTTCCTGTTACTCCTCCTCCTCCTCCTCCTCCTCGTTTTCCTCCTCCTCCTCCCCCTCCTCCCCCCCCCTCCTTTTCCCCATCCTCCTCCTTTGTCCGCCCCGTCCTCATCCTCCTCCTCCTCCTCCTCCTCCCTCCTCCTCCTCCTCCTCCTCTCCTCCCCCTCCTCCTCCTCCTCCGCCTCCTTCCTCTTCTTCCTCGCCGTCCTCGTCCCCCTCCGCCCTTCCTCCTCTGAGTCCTCGTCCTCCTTCTCCTCCTCCTCTTCCTCCTCCTCCCCAACCTCCCTCCTTCCCCTCTCTCCGTCTCTCTCCCCCCTTACTCCCTCCACCCCTCCCTCCTCTCCCTCCCCCTTGTTCCCTCTCCCGCCCGTATTTCCTCCGTCCTCCTCCCTCGGCCTCCCTCCTCCTTACCCCTATCGCCCCCCCTTGTCTCCACCCTCCACAATCACTCAATATGAATGGTACTTTCCTCCTTCCCCCGATGATGGGTTGGGAGTTTTCGCCGCCCCCTGCGTATTGTTTTTTACACACAGGATTCCCCGGAGTTGGGTTTTCGCCTGCACTGTTTTTCAAAATGTTGTTGTCGTTGAGGCGCTGGCCTCATTTTCAGGCCCCGCTCGTTCCGAATCGCGTTCCCGCTGCAGCGCAGGCCTCATTTCCGTGTTTCCGCTCGTTCCGAATCGTGTTCCCGCTGCAGCGACGGCCTCATTTCCGCGCTTCCGTTCGTTCCGAATCGTGATCCCGCTGCAGCGCTGGCGTCACTTCCCGTGCCATGCCACGGCATGCAATGCAATGCTACGTTGCGCTCCGCTGCGCGATGCCGCGCCTTCAGCTGAAGCTGTGATACGCAGCGTTTAGTACCGCGCCGTGCTATGCCATGCTACGCTTTGATATCCGGCGCCATGTTATGCAATGTTATGGTCGGGGCCGCTGTGGGATGCCTTGCTTTGCGGTGCAAAACGTTGCGATGCAACTCATCATACGCCACGCCACGCCATGCTGTGACATACTGCGTTTTGCGGCGCTCTTCTACGCCATGCCACGCCAAGTTCTACAATGCATCGCGCACCCTCTCGAGATCGTTGCCCTGCTCGAAATCGACTGCGCGAATAGAGAAGGGATCTACGCCATGGTAAGGGATGGGAGGGAGGGGTAGGATGTCAGATGTGACGCGAACGCACCTACCTCGCCCTGCCCCCCTCCTCCCCTCCCTTCCCCTTTCCGTCTCCCCTCGTCGCCCCCGCTCGATACGTCCTCACCCCATACTCAAGACCAGGGACTTCGATTCGGCATCGCGTCTGCGGAGACTTCCTGCAGCCCCTATTGAACCTTACTTCATTAAATAACTAACTTTTCTGGAACGCGTAAATAATGTGGAGGAGGAAAAAAGAGGACGGATGACTTGCCGGGGCTCCAAATATCGAGGGTCGAAGGATTGACTGCAGGGATTCCTCGAGAAGGCGTGGAAAAGGGGCGGGTGGATGATGCGAGCGCGGGAGCGGCAGCGCCTGAGGGCGTGAACGTTCAGGGCCACGCGCCGAGGCCGCAGGATGGTAGCACGACACTTCGAACGAAAAGTAAGAACCACCTCGTCACTGGAGGTGTTGCTGCTACAACTACTCCATATTCCCCTCCTCCTCCTCCTCCTCCTCCTCCTCCTCCCCCCCCTGCTCCAACTCCATCCTCCTCCTCCTCCCCCTATTCCTCTTCCTCATCTGCCCTCCCCTCCTCGTCCTGTTCCTCCCCCATCCGAGATGCGGGGCGTGCGCAAGGCGATTGCGATGGCGATGTGCCGTCCGAGCTGTGGATGTCGAAATTCCTCTGAAGAGGCGGTGGCAATAATTTCTTGGGAGGTAGATCTGGGCCAAGGAATATCGGGCCCGGCATGCCGGACATACCCCCCATAACGGGGTGTGGTATCCTGAAGGATGCATGTGACATGCGGAAGCATGCCGCACGATGGTAAAATGATTGAGCATGTTGTTGTTGTCGCTGTTTGGCGTCGTCGCCCGCCCCGCAAGCCAGCCGCGACTCACCCCGCGACCCGCCCCGCGGCCCCCCCCCGCGACACCCCCGCGACCCACCCCGCGACCCACGCCGCGACCCACCCAAAACCCAACCCACGACCCACCCCGCGACCCACATCCCGACCCGCCCGCGACCCGCCCGCGACCCACACGCGACCCGCCCGCGACCCGCCCGCGACCCACCCCACGACCCATCCGCGACCCACCCGCGACCCACCCGCGACCCATGCGGGGCCCACCCCGCGACCCACCCGCTTCGCATCTACGACCCACCCGCGACCGATCCGCATTGGTTTGAAAAGAAAAAAAAAATCGGCGCCTGCGGCGGGCTCGCTGCATAATCTGCAAAACTTTGGCGCCCGCGGCGGGCCTCTCCAAAGTCTCGAGCTCGCCCGCGCATCCCGGGGGCTCTCCGGGGCCTCCAAAAAGCCCCGAGGCGGCCCAGCGAGCCCCGGGGCAATATAAGAGGGCGTCAAGACGGCCCAGGGCGGGCCCGCGACAATCAAAAATGGCTCCAATACGCCCTGCGAAGCCCCCAAGCTGGCACAAGAGTGTTCCCGGAGGGCCGCCGAGGAGGGCCCCTGGAGGCAAACATTTTCCCATCCCCAACAGACAAGGGCACGTGTTCGACACGCGCGCCACGTCGCCTCGACAGCGTCCACCGCGGTCCAAGGGCCCCGCAAGATCGCCCCAAAACGGCCCGCGAGGCCCCCGAGAGGGGCCCGAGACGGCCCGAGAGAACCCAAGAGGGCCCAAAACGACCCCCAAGGCCCCTAAGGCGGCCAAGGGGGGCCCGAAGAGGGGCAGCGCGCGCTGACATCTCGGGCCCGCCCCGCCGCGACGGCCCCCAGAGCCTCCAGCGGCCCCTGGGGCGCCCCCGAAAGGCCCGATGAGGCATCCAAAAAGTACCCAAGAGGCCCCCGAGAAGCCCTCCAAGCAAATCGCATGGCCCCAAGAGTCTTTCAATAGTCTTCTGACAAGCATCCCGCGAGACCCCCGCGCGCGCCCCCCGTGCCCCTGACCCTCAGTGCAGGCGCGGCGGCACGGCTCTCGACGAATTCGCGGCGATGGGGGTCGGCGGAATGGCGCAACCCTCTTGAATGAGAGAAGGTCGAAACTGGCTGCGATGGCGAGGAGGAAATGAAAGGGGGCAGGATCGACCCGCGAACCCGGGAAGGAACAAAAAAAGTATTGGGAGCGCATCAAAGACAACCGATTGGGTGACGGGCAAATTCAATACTGGATGTATCGATGTTGATGTACCGCGCCGAAAGCTGAGCTGTGCTGCGCCGCGCTGAATTGCGATGCGCCGTGCCAAGACTGTGCCCTATAGCGTTGCGGATCGGGTCCTTCTTTGCATCCGAGCCCTGGCCGAGCCGATATGGATCTTAAGGTCGAGCTGCCCGAGCGCGTAGATGCTGTCACAGAGCTCATCGACAGGAGGACATGCTAAGAGGACGCGCCGAGGAAAGTCCCAAGGGGCGCGTCAGGCGACGCGCCGGTGGACGTGCCGCGGAGGTGCGCCGCGGGGCGCGCCGAGGGATCGCGCTACGGAACGCGCCGATGGACGCGCCGCGGGACGCGCCAGGGATCGCGCCGCGCAACGTGCCAGGGGGGCTCGCCGCGGGGCGCGCCGCGGATCGTGCCAGGTTGCAGCGCTGTGTACCGATCTTGATGTGCCGAGCCGAGGGCCGCGCTGTGCTGCGCCGTGCTGCGACGCGCTGCATTGCGATGTGCCATGCCGCGGTTGTGCTCTCAGCGTTGTGGACCGAGTCCTCCATTGCACCCGAGTCCTGACCGAACGGATCTGGACCTCAGGCCCGAGCTGCCCGAGCACGCAGTAGCTGCCGGGAACATTCCAAGATGTTCCCCCGCGGAACGCCCCAACGGACGCGCCGGGCGACGTGCCGAGGGGCGCGCCATGGCGACGCACCACAGGACGCGCCCCTCGCAGACTGCAGCTCTCGAGTCAGGCGGCGCCGCCAACAGTTCCAAAAACTGCCGCCTGCGCAACCCAATATTGCTTCCTAAACGCTGCAGCGTGCAAGGCCGAGAGCTGCGGCGGCCCGCGTTGAACGATGCGCCCCAGTTGTCGTTAGCGATATAATCGCACTTCGCAGGCAGGCCCCGCCAGGCTGCTCTACTGCGGACCGCGTGGCCCGAATGACGCCGGCCACCTGCGCGCCTGGCGAACAAGTTTGTGGCGACCCTCTACGTTCCGAACTACATCGCGTGCACCTCGTTGCTGGTCTGCTTGTCGTGCGTCGGCCACGTGGCGGCGATGACAAAGGCCGCTCTCGCGCGGAGAGAACGCGCGACCCCGATCGGAGCCCCTACGTCGACAGCGATGTTCGCTGGCATGAGTTTCCGAAGCTGTCGGGATACAGCTCGCAGGCAACAGCTTGGAACAGCAATCTCTGGCATAATGGACCCGCTGTCCAGATGTGCGCATCCCTGGTGCAAGTGTTTCTTCTTGGCTTTGACTTTCATGATGCATTGTGTCGTGGGCCGTGCATCGGCTGTCCATGATGATATGTGCAGGGTTTTCTGCGCGCTGCCTCTGAATTGCATGGGAACTGTTTCTGCCTGTTTCCATAGTTAGTCCTTAGCCGCCTTCCAAACTCGACGATGAAGAGCTGGGCGACGTTGGCAGTCTTGCGCGCGATGTTGCTGGCTGTGTCCATAGCGGGGCACAGGCTACCATCGAGCTGCCCGCGGCTGCCCTGTACTTCCAAAGATGTTGGCCCAGGCCACTCGACAGTGAGGCTGGCGACTTCCTGCCCCAGCATCCTCTGAACATCTTCGGCCCGCCGCGCCATTGGAAATCCAATGCGCATGTCTCCGCGTGGGCGCCTTTCTTCCGCAAAGCCTGAAACGCGCACTGCGTCGGCTGGCCGCGCTCGACTACTGTGGGCGCGACAAAAATGCATCTTGCCACGGCTGACGCATGGGCGTTGCATTCTAGACAGGGCCGACGAGGCGGGGCGAGACAAAAGAACCACAAATCGCGGGCACCAGCGACGCGGCCAGAGTGGCCGAGAGCGGCGGGAATCGTCGCGTCGAGCCATGGCCCTACGCCGTCCATGGCCCACTCTGTGACTTGGAGTGCGTTTGCCACTGAGCGGGCTGAAGGCGCATCAGTTGTCAGACTTGCCGCGAACGCGCGTCGCACTGCCGAATTCTCGAAAGAGCCCGCCCCAGGGTTGCCCCGCATCGCCGCCAGCGCCGCGCCCGGCACTGAAAATGTAATATTCGGTATGTTCTGCGCTGCCCGACGCGCTGGCAACGTCGGCGCCGTCGCCTGCGCGGCGTTTCCACCGCCGCGCAGGGGTGACAAAGGCCGCCTCAGCACGCAGCTTATAACGCAAAGCGGAGCAGTCGCCGAATCTTCCCCTCGAGAAGGGCCGTCGAAGACGCAGCTCGCAAGTCTGCGCGTATCGGGGAGACGACTGACAGCCAGTGTCGACAAACTTCGGCAAGCGAGCAGCTCGAGGCACAAACTCTGCAGCCGTCGCCGCGAGAGAGGACGCCAAACGTGTTCCCAAAAGTGGAAGTACTGCGCGGCGTACAAAGTGGCGTCGTCTTAAGTCGAACTCTGGCAGGTCGATGTCATAATTGCACTGGCCATGCGCCTGACAATCCAAGACGGGACAATCTAGAATAGATATTGCCCAACGAGTCTGACATCTTCTGATCAGAGGCGCTATTTATGAAATCGGAACTGTGGGCACTGGCAAATGTATTCGCGCGATGCGATGCCAATAACTGCATGTGTCGCCGACGCTTCCGTGGTCGCGACAGTTTCACCAACGATCGCTACCTGTCATCAACATTGCCCCGGCCAGCTGAACACACGCGAGGTCGCACATCCATAGGAGCGACAACTTCGGGTGCAACGCGGACCTGAGCAACAATTAACCTGGCGAAGGACCCAACCATGTGCAGCTGTGAGTACCGCAATAGTGAACATCTTCTTCGGCGCGGCGCCGCCATGCCAACGCAGCCACTGGGAGCTTCGGTGGAGCTCCCTATGGGGCCACGAAGCGTGTAAGGGGTGTGCCGAAATGGGTGCGGCGCCGCCATGCGAACGCAGCCACTGGGGCCTTCGGTGGAGCTCCCTATGGGGCCACGAAACGTGTGAGGGGATGTGCCGAAATGGGTGCGGCGCCGCCATGCCAACGCAGCCACTGGGGCCTTCGGTGGAGCTCCCTATGGGGCCACGAAACGTGAAAAAGGGGTGTGCCAAATTGGGTGCGGCGCCGCCATGCCAACGCAACCACTGGGGCCTCCGGTGGAGCCCCCTATGGGGCCACGAAGCGTGAAAAAGGGGTGTGCCAAATTGGGTGCGGCGCCGCCATGCGAACGCTGCCACTGGTGCTTTCGGTGAAGCTCCCTATGGGGCCACGAAACGTGCGAGGGGTGTGCCAAATTGGACGCGGCGCCGCCATGCCAACGCAACCACTGGGGCCTTCGGTGGAGCTCCCTATGGGGCCACGAAACGTGTGAGGGGTGTGCCACATTGGGTGCGGCGCCGCCATGCGAACGCAGCCACTGGGGCCTTCGGTGGAGCTCCCTATGGGGCCACGCAGCGTGCGAGGGGTGTGCCAAATTGAACGCGGCGCCGCCATGCGAACGCAGCCACTGGGGCCTTCGGTGGAGCTCCCGATGGGGCCACGAAGCGTGCGACGGGTGTGCCAGAATGGGGGGTGGAACCGCATGCGAGCGCAGCCACTGGGGCCTTCGGTGGAGCTCCCTATGGGGCCACGAAACGTGTGAGGGGTGTGCCAGAATGGGGGGGTGGAACCGCATGCGGCGCAGCCACTGGGGCCTTCGGTGGAGCTTGTGGGGCCACGAAACGTGTGAGGGGTGTGCCAAATGGGGGGGAACCGCATGCGGGCGCAGCCACTGGGGCCTTCGGTGGAGCTCCCTATGGGGCCACGAAACGTGTGAGGGGTGTGCCGAAATGAATGTGGAACCGCATGCCGCAGCTGGGGCCTTCGGTGGGCCCCTTGGGGCCTTCGGTGGAGCTCCCTATGGGGCCACGAAACGTGTGAGGGGTGTGCCAGAATGGGGGGTGGAACCGCATGCGAGCGCAGCCACTGGGGCCTTCGGTGGAGCTCCCTATGGGGCCACGAAACGTGTGAGGGGTGTGCCAGAATGGGGGGTGGAACCGCATGCGGGCGCAGCCACTGGGGCCTTCGGTGGAGCTCCCTATGGGGCCACGAAACGTGTGAGGGGTGTGCCAGAATGGCAGCCACTGGGGCCTTCGGTGGAGGGGGTGTGAGGGGTGTGCCAGGGGGAGGAGGGGGGGGGAGGAGGGAGGGGGGAAGGAGGCGGGAACGCGGGGCACCGTCTCTTCAAAACGAGGACCCAACACCACAGGATGGTTGGGAACAACTTGCGCTATCTTGAGCCAAATCGATGTCCAGGTCACAGGCACGCTGGCCCTGCTATATGCTCGCAATTGCCCGCAACAGGCCGTGTATCCGTGTGCCCATCTGCGACGATGGCGTCCGAAAGTACGGTTTCCGTTTGAAGCTGAAATGCTTAACTTCGGCCCGCCTCTAGGCCCATGGCGAGTCTCTGCAGAAGCGTGGCCACCGCCCCGTCGCTGGCATCCGAGTCCACCACCGACTATCTGCTGGCACTTCAAAAGGCCGCCACGATATCCATGAATACGTTCGATCACGCCGTGCCATTCAACGCAGCCAGCTGGTCCGGGAGTCGAGCCAGATGTGCAGCAAAGTCTGCACACTGTGTCGGGAACATATTTCTCGAACGCTGATAACAGCTTGCTGCGGTAGAACTTGTGGACTTTTTTGTCTGCGAGGGCGTCGCTGAGCAATATGGCGCGCCCTGGCTTGATGGAGTGTGGGGGCGAGCCGTGCCTGTGCAATTTGAACAAGGAGCCTCCTTTCCAGTGCAATGGCTCGGCGAACTTCAGAAACGCGAGCGCTTCTTCCAGCTCGCGCAAGGCGTCAGAGGAGGGAGGGGGGAGGGTTGAAGACGAGGCCAAAACCAGAATAGCAGCGGATCAGGATACGTCGGGGATCCTTGAGATCCAGCGATTCTGGAATACGTCGGCGGCCGCGGCCATTCCAGAGCGCTCCAGAACGCTGTGGCAGCGCTCATAAGGGGCAGAAAATCTCCCCCCTGAATAAATCACCCCAACAAGCGAAGCCCTTTTGCAAACGCACCCACAAAAAGGAATCGAACATTGCAGGACTGTTTAGTAAACGCCCAGGGCTGTTTAGTAGTAAAGGCGAAATATCGGGTCCGGATGGTTTTCCAACACCTGATTTCAGGAAGACGCTCGAAGACACAGCGGCGGCTCAAGATCGGCTCCTGGACGCCTCTGGGGATGTAAACGCAATATTTGTCCGAGCTGCGTCCGATCTTGGTGAGGAGGAGCCACCTCCTGAAGGCCAAGCTCCGTTGTCTGAACTCGCCCTCGTCGAATTCTGGGCTATGAGGGATCGGGAGCGGCCAAGAGGAGGGTGTCCAAGAGGGGGGGGTGCACATCATGACCGGCGGCATGTGCGCGGCCCAGCGGGGGGACCAGGGACGTAATGAAATAAGAAGAGGCGCCATGAAATCTGAGAAAAAATCATGGCCCGCGCTATGAAATCCACCCCCTCCTAGTCATCACCCCCCTCTTTGCCGCTCCCGAAGGGAGTTCTGGAACGTTTCCCCCCCGGTCTTGTGAGCCCACGATGGTGTGACAACCCGAAGGGGCCAATCATGAAACACAACCGAGCGGCCCAAGATCGCCAGAGCCACGTCTCTCAACATCGCGCGCATCAGATCAGACAGCAAGAGCTGAAACGCCGGCCGGGAGTCACAATATCGAGGAGGCGAGCAATGAATGCTCTCGTGGGAAAGGGGGAAATCCGAGGCTAACTCCACCCCATTGTGAGTCCGTTCGGTTTTTGAGCCCGTTCGGCCGGCGAATGGACTCACGATCGAGCCCATGCGGCGGTCGATCGGGCTCAATTCCTTCGACCCTGTCGGAGCTGACCACGTCCCGCTGCCCAATCAGCGGCCGAACGGGCTCAGACTCCGAATGGGCTCAAAGGGAACCGTGCTGTACTAGCCCCGCCTGGGAGGAGGGAGGAGGCTAGCTCGCAAGCGCGCGCCTGCAGCCACCCACAGGTGTCTGGCGGTGGACCCCCTCCTTGGCGCGCGGAGATCATGTTTATGCCGATCTTTGCTCTTCGAGTTCCGCAGCGCTGCGTGAAAGCTCGAGGAGCGCTTCGGGAAGCTCTGGAGTAGCTTGTCCTGGTCTCAGCCCCGCCCAACCCATACCCCCGACGTCGCGACTTTCAGGGGGGCGTAAGACCCGGGTACAGGGGACTCGGAAATCCCCGACGAGATCGTCAAAAAATGACGAGGCCGAGCCTGCATTTTGACGAGGCCTCCCGCTGCAGACATCCCACGAAACTCCTCCTCGTCAAAATCCGAGGCGCGGACGTCAAAAAAACGATGGCGAGCCCGAGTCCTGGCAAACCCGGGTCTTACGCTCCCCCGAGACTTTGACATAGCGTAGGCCTTCCTGAGATCTGGACCGCTTCCCCAGGACCCGCTTTTCATCATCACCGACGTCTCACGGTCCTGGGCCCCGCGAGGGCCCCGGAGGCCGAACGCCACACCAAAGAGCTCCTGGCCCCCAGCCTGCTCACCACGGGGAGGGAGCGGGCCGGTGGCAGGATCTGCCCTGCCCCCAGAGGAAAACAGGGCTAGGATCGGGATAAAAATCGCTCCAGAGCGTTCCGGAGCGCTCCCAGAGCGTTCCGGGGCGCTCTGGAGCGGCCGCGGCGCCCAGTACATCCTCCCAGCCCGGCGATCCTCGGAGACTTCGAGCTATCCCGATCCGATGTTGCCCCGATCCTCGCGTCGTTTTTCTTTTGGAGGGGAGGGCGGGAGGGAGCCGCCTCGCAGGCGCGCGCCTGCAGCCTCCCACAGGGCCCCGCCGCATGCGCACCCTCGCGGATCCCGGCGGGCGCGCGGCCCTCTGCCCGTGCCCCCGCGCGCGCGCGGGGGCACGAGCAGCGGGGCGGGGCGGGCGCTCGGAGCGGCCGGCGTGCGCGGACGGGGCCCGGCCTCGGCGAGCCGAGACGGCGGCGGCGGCGCCGTTCGCCCCCTCGCCGCCGCGGTGGTCGCGGCGGCCGCTGCCCCTCGTCGCCGTCGCGGTTGCCGTCGCCGTCGCTGCAGTCGGCGCGACGGCGTCGTCGTCGGCCACGTCGCCGTCGCGGTACCCGCCGCCGCTGTCGCCGCCGTCGTCGGCGGCGGCGTCGCCCTCGGAGCGCGGCCGTCGCAGCACTCGTCGCCGCCGCGGTGGCCGGGAGGGACTTCGCGAGTGCTTGGGGGAAGCATCTGGATTTCCTCTTGGGGGCCTTCGGCCTAGCTGGTGGTCTGCAAGGTTCTTCGTTGGGGTTTTGGGGGGGGGGCGTTCGGCGAACTCCTGGGGTCTTCGTCGTTTCTCGGAGGTCTCCCTGGCCCGGGCCGTGATGCGCGTCAGCCAAACACGCCACGAAGAGGAGAGGCCCGACCTGTAGGAATATACATGAAACGCTTAGGACTAGAGCCATACGAGAGGAACAATGTATAGGAGCATACGTACAACATAAAAAGGATTCGGGCCCGAGATGAGGCCAAAACTACAATCACCAGCTTTTGAGCGACAGGTGGTCTAAAGGTGATCTCTTTGTTTTCTTCCAACCCGTCTTCCCGTCGGGGAGGGCAACCTCCCCCTCCCCTCCCTGGGTTTGCTTGGGAGGGGGACCGATGTGTCAGAGGGTCCTTTTGTCGGCCAGTGGGAGGACCAATGTTTGACACCCCCTCACCGAGGATCGTGGCCCCCGAGGGTGGGGTAGACATCGAGGACCCCCCCCTCTTTTGACCGACCACCTTCAAGATGGCCCCAAGAGGCCATCCAGGGCTCCCATGAGGCTCCCACGAAAGCCCCAAGAGCGCCCCAAGAGGCCCCTAGAGGCACCCAAGAGGCACCCGAGAGGCACCCAAGAGGCCCTCTGAGCGGACCCCCAAGAGGCCCAAGAGGGTCATCCGAGGCACGCAAGACGCCGTCTCTTCCTCGTCCTCCTCCTCGTCCTCCTCGTCCTCGTGTTGCGAAACCCTATGCTCTATGTGGGTTTTGGGGCACTCGGTTTGGAAATCCTTCCGAAACCGATGGTCTTTGAAGGATTTCGGCATGCGCGCGCGACGACGCGCGCGTGCGCACTTCGTCACATTTGTTGCAAGGGATTATTGGAAACAAATGATGTTTGATAAACGAGTGCGCGCGCATAGAATTTTGTACGGAGGATGGCGCAACGGGGCCGATACCAGCCTGGCTGGGATAGTATGAATTCACAGGTCGACTGCACGATAATACGTTCACGCTTGCGGCGCGCTGTCCATGTAAATTGCCCGATAACGCTTTCGCGCGTGCGGCTCGCTTCTTGATCGTTCACAGCATACATTAGTGCTAACAACCCCCACCCCAACTTTTTAATTCGCCGTCGCCGCGCGACATCTTTTTTTATCGCAGATTACATTCGCCGACCATACGCAAGTCGAAGCCGGGGGGAAACCATCTAAAAGATAACCCTGGGCCCAAGCCCTGTCCAGGAAAAACACGTCCACGTGAACTTTCGGAGCTCCGCGCGGACCTGCGTATGTTCCTGAGTTTGGGTTCGAGTGATGCTGGAGGAGCCAGATAGGCCATCGATGGGGGATTATGACGAGAAACGTCAGGAGTGGCCGAGGCCGTCAACTGGGGCCCTGCTATCCAGCCTCGCTCGGGCGGTTCCGAGAGAATGGTGGCGCTGCAGGCGGTGGACTCTGGTTTCGCAGCGCGTGCGGTCGACAGCTCCAAATTCTCATGTGCCTACACTTAGCGATTGAACCATGCGCCGAATGGCAACGCGTGCGCTGCACTGCTGCCATAGCCGCCGCCTCCAGTCGTGGCAATGATTGAATCACTGCGACGATTATGCGCAAGCATCTCGTATCGTTCTGCCCATGTCTCCCTTGGTCCCCAAACACCCCGTATAAGAGTGTCGTGAGCTGTTTCGACCATCTCCTCTCCTGGGGAACTTTGCAATACGTCTGGGCCATGCGCTCTTGGGAAGATGTTGCAAGACCTGACATATCAGACGACGACTGACACCGTACTAGCACCAGTCACGCGAGCACTGCACTGACGGTTGCTGAAAGAGTCTACGCACCACTTCGCATGAGCGGGCCGTCGCCTTCACCTTTCCTCGGACGGGGGGAGGCAGGCAGGCCAGAAACACCAATTGGGAACCACGAGACCCTACGAGAAACGTGTCTTGGCCAGAGTCGACGGGGCGCCCACTTGAGAAGGCGAGGTGGGCTTCTTAGACGCACTTCCCCCCGGACAAGCCTCCTTACCACCTGCGGTCACCGCAAAGAACCCCCCACGCCATCTCAGAAAGCCGCCGCGCAGGGAAACACAACAACGCCATGCGAACATCGGGCCGCATCGGATCGTCGGAATGTCGGTATCGAACTGGGTCGGGCCAGCCACAAATCGACATCGAATCGGATCGGTCGGACCGAAGTGGACCTTGGCGTGCTGAAGCACGCGCCTCCAGATGCGCACGGCGGCAACGGCATGGGCGCGGGGCGGTCTGGAGGCGGGGCGGCCGTCCTTGCACTCGTCAAGGTTGAGCTCCTGGTGAAGAAAGGATGGGCCCAGGGGCCATGACCATCCAGGAGAGAGAAAGAGAGAAGGAGATCAAGACCTTCACTCGCTGCGACCAAAACCACGACGACAAGTCATAGCTCAGATTCTGCCTATTCAAATCAGGCCCAGAATGAAAGACGGGACCTGGGGAAGCGGTCCAAACATACAGGGGCCAATGTTATGAAGCGATTACGACGTCGGAGGTCTGGGGGAGAGACAAAGCAAGAGAGAGAGAGAGAGAAGTAAAGAGACAGAGAGATATACCCCATATTGATATATGTGTATGCACATGGATGTGTAAATGTGTGTATGTGTTGTGTGTGAGAGAGAGAGAGTAAGAAATAAGAGGGAAGTAAAGATGAAGAGAGAGAGAGAGAGAGAGAAAGGGAGGGAGAGAAAATAAAAAGGGGGGGAACTATATATATATATAGAGAGAGAGAGAGAGAGAGAGAGAGAGAGAGAGAGAGAGACAGAGACAGAGAACAACAAAAGGAAGAGACAGAGAGAGAGAGAGAGAAGTCGTACATGTCAGAGGACCATTGGCAAAAGGGGGAGGCGACCAGATCGGTCAATAAGTCTGGAGGGTTCCCTCTAGCACTCTGGACAAATCAGGAAGCCCGAATTCTGGTTGGAGCTTGCTGGGGCGCATGGCAAATTGATAGCTGAAGCCAGCATTGAGTATGAGGGAAAATTGTAAAGATGCAGGGCGCCCAAGACACGCCAAGATGACATGTTGACCTGGGACAAGGGCGGCTTCACGCCCAGCAGAATTATTGTTGCCGGCCCGTGTGGGGAAAGTCTCCACGCTCGGACAGGGCCGCCGACGATGCCGCTCCAGATGTCCTGTCCCGTCCGAGCGGACGCCCCCCCTGAGGACCTGCAGAGCACGAACGCACGCCGCGCCGAGGAGACTTGGGGGAGGGGGGGACGCCCACAACAAAGCCATCGCGCCACCGAAGGAACGAATGGCCGACCAGACCACCTCAGATGTCCTGACCCATCCGCGCGGAGGCCCCCCCCCTCCGAGGCCCTGCAGAGCACGAGTGCACGCCTCGCCAAGAGCCAAAGGCAGGGGGTGAACGCCCACCCGTGAAGCCATCGCGCCGCCGCAGGCCCGAACGACGCGCTCCGGCCACGAGGAAGTCCCCCGGCCTGAGCGGCTCGGCTCCGTCGCGCCATCCGCCCCGACGAGACGCTCTGCGCTCCGCTCGAAGTTCCCCGGCCTGGCCCCGAGGAGCGGCCTGGAAACGCCGAGCGCCCTCCGCGCAGCGGGAGCCGCGGACTCCCTCCCGGCCGGCGGCCGCGAGGCCCCGCGCGGGCCGCGCGTGCAGCACGAGCGGGCACGCGTGGGCTCCTCGTGGCCACGACGGGCGTCGGCCTCGAGGGGGGCCCCCCCGGGTGCCAGCGCCGCCCAGGCGGCGCGCCGGGCGGAGGAGCAGAGGCCGCTGGAGCTTCGCCGCGGGAGGCGCTCGCGCGGCAGCAGGCCGAGGGTCAGAGCCCCGAGTCATCCGATGTGCCCGTTCTCCACGACCACTGCCATGAGTTAGAGGGGAATGGAAGGAGGCGGAGAGGAGGAGGACGAGACGGAGGGGGGGTGAGGAGGAGGAGGAGGAGGAGGAGGAGGAGGAGGGGGGTGAGGAGGAGGAGGAGGAGGAGGAGGAGGAGGAGGATCAGATCAGACTCCTATCGGGGCATAGATCCAGATGGTGACAGCATCAGAGAGCCCTAGGACCGACTTACTAGCCGCGATGTTCGGACCACCGTCCGCCCTGAGTTTCCAGGGTATCAGAACCCTAAACACGCTACAAAACTTACCCATGGAAACCTAACAAGCGAGCCGCAGCTCCAGAAAGAGATTCGCCGAATCCAGAGTCCCGAAAACTTCGAATTGTAGCACCTCTAGCACGCTTGGTAGGAGGAGGGAGAGGAGTCGGAGACGAGGGCTCGGAGGGAGACAGAGGACGAGGGGGGGAAACCACGGCCTGGCAGGCAGCACCGGGGCGGGCCTCAAGACAGGTCGTAGCTGTCCTCGCGGCCATCGTCCGAGACACGCCAGTCGCGGTCGACACACCCGTAGTCGATAAACTCGCACTCTGGGTCTTCACACTTCGTGAAGTTCGAATTCGCAGCGAAATCGTCGACGGTGATGACTCATGATAACTCTCATCAACAGGATCTGGCACCCACATGTCATTTGACACCGCCATTCTGTCATTAATCCCAACATCACCGTCAGCACTGTGTTCATTTAGATATCCATGTCCTCGCCTGCCATGAACGTCTGCAGGATTCTCTCCAGGTGGCCCATTGGGGCGACTCCCTCTCTCACCAGTGCCCCGAGCTGCTCGCAACAGGCGATCAATGGTTTGACGTCTTCGATCCTCGGCATCATCACTTTGGCCTCCCCCTCTTTGAAGGCCGTCGCTATTTTCACAAAGGGATACTTGGCCACGACCTCTGGTAGTGACAACTTGTTGTTCGTTTCCTTCCATTCGTTTAGGCGCTGCAGGTTCATCTGGCCCACAGCAACACCGACCTTCTCGCATCCCTCCGCTATCCCTACTAGACACGCCACCGAGATGGACTCCAGCTTGGACACCTCCGCCTCTTTCCCCCTCGACCTCAAGTCCTGAGCCGCCTCCACCCACGCCTTCACTCTCCCTCGTCCCTGCAGGATGGGTTCTGTGTTCTCGGCCATCGTCATCGTGATCAAAGTAATAGCCTCTACCTGTCTTGTACGCATGGTCACGTTCATCATCAATTTCATGAGCACTGGCACGATCTTTTTTATTTGATTTACGTCGTACTCTTCTAGCTCCGCAATCTCCTCTTTCGACACCGTCCGATTGGATTTTGTCTGTGTTCCCTTCTTCGTCCGTCCGCCTCCTCCTCCTCCTTCGACCTTGCGCCTCACGGCTGGGGCCGCCGACGCGGCAGCTGGGGCTGCCACAGGGAGCGCCGACCACATGCCAGACAAACTCTGGAAGAGGGATGGGAAGATGATCGCGTAGGTGAAACTGAAGCTCCCCAAAAGACCGAAAAGGCTGCAGGCATACTGGGCATGACCTATCCTCAGGATCTTGCACGGGTGGGTTGAACTTCGACGAGTCAACCCTGCACCGACCAAACCGATAAGAATTCACAAGATGTCTGACCGCCGTATCACGGCATCTGAACGTCGACAGGCAAGCAACACATTGGTTGGTGAGAACTAGCTTGGATATGGTGGACGGGATTCCATGTTGACCACCAGTTGCTTGCCTCTGGTGGACTAGCAGGGCACGCCTAGATATAAAACGTCGGCCACATTCAAGGCCATCATCATCAAGATACGTACAACAATATTCACCTTCGGCAACCTCTCCTGGTTCGGGGGACACGTCCGTGGGCGGCAGCGGTCTCATCAGCCATTCAGCTCGAAACTGCTGCATATCGATCTTCTGAAACGCGTCATAGGCCTCGGAGTTCCCGCGAAAGATCCCCAAGTAGTCTATGACACTGGCCTCGTCCCTAAGTAACTCCAAGACGTCCCTCCCCTCCTCCGTACATTCCATATACTTAAGATCTTGCACAAACTGTTTGGCCCATGGGTTGTCTCTCGAGGTATCCTTGGGGCTCGAGCACGCACTGGGGTACCAGGAGAAGGACGACGGAACCGCTTCTTCGACCTCCAAGATCCCGAAGACCGCCGTCAGCTGTTGAACATGGTATACCGGACTACGAGCTATTTTCTGCCACTCTTTCAACCTCTGGACCCTCAACTCTAAGTCAATCGGAACAAGTCCCGCTTGGCGCCATAGAACATGTGCGGGGGGGGTCCTGATAACCGTAGTCTTGGAACCGTCAGGGTTGACAACCTCGATCCTGGTAGCAACACCACCTAGGAGCACACGTAGATATCGTAGACAAATAGACTCAATACGGGCAACTTGGGAGGCCGAGAGGACCAGAGCAGTGAGCCCCGAGATCGCAGCGCCTATCACGTTGCTTCTGAACGCCATTTTTTTCGAACGCCATGAGGAACAGACAGACCAGAAGCGCTTCATGTGAGCCCAGCCTCGAACAGCAGCAGCTCGCCTAGCTTCAACCTCTGACGCCCACGATCCCGACGTCGAGAAGAGGGTCCCGAGAAAAGGAACAACAGGTAAAACCTGTCCAGGGAGATCATGAGCACCATACGAGAAGGCCATCTTTGTGGCCCAATGCGCCCCAGGACCACTGAAGTGAGGGACCACCTGTTTCTTACCCGCGCTCTGGAAGACACCGTGTTCGCGTAGCGATCCATCCAGTAGACGACCTGAGTGCATTATGATAGCTCTTGCATCGGCCAGGTCCCGAACAATATGTGTTTTGTTCAGGTCATCTGCAAAGACGCGCAGGCTCAAGTCGCACTTCTCGCCTGTCACAGCGCAAGTGCCCAGTAGACGATTCTGAAACTTCTGATGGTGGCCAATCTGCCACTCATTCACTGGCGGCGCGAACGCTTCCTGAAACACAGTGGCAGCATTGGCATCCCCCATGTAGTTCCCCTCCGTGTTGCGAAAAACTTTGTAGCCGCCATCGGCCGTGACCCGAAAACACGCCCTTCGATGCCTCTGCTTCAGGATGTGAGCGTCCGTAGCATCATACAGCCTATCCACGGCCTCGTCCAGAGACTGGTGCTTCACGGACCCGAACGCGTTCCGCATATCGTGTTTCGCATCGACCGTAGACACCCTGCCCCGAGACACCCTCCAGGAAAGCGCCGCGGTAGTTCGAATCGCCCCCGTTCTCGAACGTCGTGGTAAGTAGCCGTAATCGCAGCACGGCATCGCCCTCGCCTTCCTCCTCGCCACCTTCACCCACATTTTGCCGAACGAGCAGAGACCGTGAAGCAATCTTGTACTCTGTGTGCGTGTCTTATCGTTATCCTTCGACAACTGATAAGTAAAAGAAACGTTCCAATGTGCAACAAGCCTAGCATGCTGACGAACTTTGGTCAGAATACACTTCACCCACTTACTGATCATCTGTCCGATGCCCTCTGGGGGCTCAACTCCAAGTCCTGCCGATCGCACCTTCTCAGACTGGCGCGACGAAAGCAGCAACGACCAAATCTCATTCGGCACGCTCCACGGCACTGCAGCACGCCTTCGGCGTGCTGTGCGAAAACCTTTGGCAATGCGTTCAAAGTCGTGCTCAGCCTGTGACACGTCATCGATTGAGGGAAACTCGTCATCGTCGAACCTCGAGGCGCTCGTGATGAAATCGGCCTCGCTGATCTCGGTCGCACTCATTCCACCCTTGCTCGACGGCATCGCAAGATCCTCCACCCACTCCTCCATGCTCGGTGTGCAAGACGCAATATGTCCATACTTCCTCCTCCTAGGTCCCACACCAGCCCCCGCCATAAGTCTACATATCCTCCACTCCTCCGAAGCGAGTCCCTTCGATTGTGCCTCCATCAGTTCCTCCGACAGTTGGGCCTCTCGGAGCTCACGAAGTTGCCGACGGAACAACCTGCACTTCTTAGTTATTCGGGTTAAAGCCAAAGTAGACTCCAAAGAGCCAGTACACCTTTCACGCGTCTTTCCCCTCTCCCGCAGAAGCCGCGCACGTTCCCGAGACATCTGTGAGTACTCAGCTGGCATAGCCTTAGGGTTGGCCTCAAAGATCTCAAGCCCCTTCTCCTGGATGAGCTCCATCAGGGTCTTCCAGGCATCCTCGAGGTTCTCAGATTGGACAAGCTCCTCCAGGGACCCCACGCCTCTCTGCTCAAGTAGAGACTCAACGGCATGTTCAACACTCTTGCGAAACACTTGTGCATGATGCTCACTACGTAGTGCAAGTCCCAGCCCCGCGAAATCCCAGCGTTTCCGAGGAGGTTCCGCACGATAGCAGGGTCTCAGCTCCAGTTGGAAGACAAAGGGGATGTGGTCCCTGGGACGACTGTCTGGGATGATCTGGAGCCGCTTCGCAGCCCTCATTGCTTGCGTAAACCTCTGGATCCTATGCACATGGCATTCAGGAACAAATACATGATCAATATACGACGCATGCTGCTTCTTGGTGCCCTTCTGGGTGCTCTGGAAGCTCGGGGTAGCCGACGTTATCCTTGCC